ATGGAAGAATTCCATTATTGAGTGAAACTGATGAAAACTGGCATCATCTTACTAGAAGATATTGCCTCCCAGTTTTGCACCATACATCTCCAGTTAAAGCAAATAAGGTCCAAAACAAAATTTTTTTATTGGCTTATTTTCTGCAAATGTAATATTGGTGTCATATTCCTAAACTCTATGGAAATGTATGTCCAAAGTATTAGTGTGTGCAAAAATTTATATAAATCAGGAGAGTATATTTTTGAAGACCAATAAAAAACATTTTTGGCAGAACTGACTCAATTTACTATTATAAATTCACTTAACAGATGCATATTGTACAATTGCAATGACTTCAGTCTTGGTCCTTTGTAGATATAATCAAAGTATAAAATTTTTTATTTTATTTAATATTAACAGAAAAGTTTGGTGACTTTCATGTGTGCTATTCTTATTCTTGCACATTTGTCACAGGAATGGGCACAGTCATAATGTAGTGCTCTTTAACAGTGTATTGACACTGCCAAATGGAAAGGTAGTCATCAATTACCAATTTGAATATAACTTGATATGTTCCTGCCATCCATGCAGTTTACACCATCTACTTGTAAATCATTGTTAATTACATGCACAAAAGATCATGTAAAAATGATTTAAATATCTGAATTACAGGCTTTAGCTGTAAACATTAGACAGTCACCAACAGATAAAGTTAGCATTAAACTGATTATAAGGATACAATTTATCTGACATTATCTAAAAATAGATGGATAAAGCAAAACAAAATTCTTGCCTTATCCACCCTATTTTGATAAAAAGGAGGATAAAATTCCTATTAAATATTGTTTGGTTATCATTATGTATTTCATCAAAATATCCCAGATTCAACTAAAATTCACACTTCTAAAGCTAAAAATTGTAGGTTTAGCTTTTGATGTATGTACTGTACATTAAGATTATTACAGTATTTCTTACTTTATTAAACAGTGTATACTGGGGTTAATCATAGTAAATACTAATTTAAGATTAAAATGCAAAAAGGATCATCTGATAAAGCTTTTATTATGGCACTTAGAGAGTGCACAAAAGGACTTTGAAGACAACACAAAAATAAGTGGTCTTAAATTATAAACTCCATGATTACATTATACTGTGTAACAAATGGTCTTTTTAAAAAGTTTTTTCATAGATTTGGAAAAAACAACAGATTGCCAAGTGGTTTGAGTTATAATCACTTATTTCCATTGTTATAAATAGCAACAAATCACAACCACAGTAATTAATCAACTTATTATCAAAATAATTATTAAACCACAAACACACTTGATCATGTTAGAACACAATTCACCACAAATTTGACTACACAGTAGTGTTAAAAATGGCAAATTAGCCAATTTAATATGCATGCTGCTGCCAGAAATGGAGATGAAGTGAAATCTTTAGTTCAGATGGCTTCTCAAATCATAGAACCACCTACATTTATCCTGTACCTTAGGCAATGTCAGTTTTTGGAAAACCACACACAGCCAGGCACTCGCATATACAGGGGAGACCGATCAACTTAGTATTTTGTGATTCCATACTACTAAGTTTCCACCCAAAGTTGAGCAGTGGACCCATATTTGTTGAATATTGGTGCTAATACGCATAGCATTGGAATATAGAGGTATCGTCTGTACCCACTTGTTTGGAGATGTCTGAAAATGGATTTGCAAATAAAGTTATACATTTGCACAATTATCTTTTCACTAATGCTGTTATGTATAAGTACAGCAAAACTAGTACTTTTTCATCATTTTGCTAACAAAATCATTCTACTAGTTTATTTCATCTTTACTTTACAATCCAATTATTTGTGTCCAATTCACTAATGGTCAGGATATTGAAATTTTGCATTGTAAAGTTTTATCCACTGAAAAGGAGTTCACAAAACATTCACCCCAAATTTTATAAATCATTAGATAAACTTTAGCTTTTTACTTTTTGAACTGTTTATAAATGTGTATCACTAAAATTATATTTTTAGTATTTTCCATACTTAAAATTGTCTTTCAATGACCAAGAAATTTACATCAATTTTTCATTTTTGTATTTCTTTATAAAATAAGCTTTAATGTTCGAGTTTTATTTTGTTTAGATGACAACTACTAGCAAATTGCATGATAGTGTCAGACTTTATGATCACTCCCAAAGTTGGAGGCCACACAATACAGCATTGTGGGTTAATAGGTTATTCTAGTAGTTTTGTAGGATTTATACAGATGGCAATTAATGAGTGGATAATGTGCAAGAATTTCTAAAAAAATTAAAACTAATGAATCTTGATTCACTACCTAAATATTAGTTTGAGAATTCAGCCAAATTTGTATGAAAAAAATGGTTGAAAAATGAGACTCCCACAATGAGATGTAATACATAAACCCCTACAAAATTCAAACAAATGCATCAGATGTCAATATGAATTATTCACTGCTGGCAGTTTATCATTAAATCAATTTTACTGTACAAAGTTGAAATCACATCAGCTATGATGTGTCAACTGATTAGTGCCTATCTTTGTATTGTTACACACATGGATAAAAGTACCAGAAAATAGTTTCATTGTTTTTAGTTTTAAAATTAAAGCAATGAGATGTTAATATTTAAAAACTATATAAATTTGAAATTTTTTCAAGTAATTACAGAAATGTTCACCATTTTAAAATCTAATCAAAACTATGGGCATAAAAAAACATTGGTAATATAAAAGTGTATTTAAACTGAATTTTTGATAAGTCAATTTTTTTTGCTTATTAAATTTGACCCTTTTAACAGTAACAAAGTTTCCCACACTGTTTTCATTCTCAGGCTAGCTCGTCATAGCCACAATTTAAGAACAAGTGTTAAATTGTGAAATATCCAGAGTTAAAATGTTAGTACTAACATTGCCAAAAACATTATTGGTACAGATCTGAAATTCATTAAAAATGCTGTTTGTTAATTTTACAATTTTTAAATTAACAGCCATCTCAAAATTCACAAGAATTTAACAGATTATTCTTAGAACAGTGAATACTTTCTACAGAAACAATCAATTATGTCTTATAAGTTAAATATTTAGATTATCTGATGAATCCTATATTTTGATAAATTATTAATTTGTAGTGTTGCAACGAATAGTATATTCAGCCTCAGGCCGAATACTCGGACAGAAGCCTGGCTGAATATTCGGCCAAACTATTTGACTTGATTAACGCACTACAAAAATTGGCACACAAACCACATTATGGCAAGGACCCTGCTCTCTATTGGCCCACTGTCACTATGCTTCGACAATTGTAGCAGACAGAGAAGAGCATCATGGCAGTATGTGATAAATGATATCAAATGTGGATAACAATGAAATGATCTACACGTGTAAATAACGGAAAAAGAACAGAGAAGGACCGCAAAGTGAAAATATGAAATTGAGTTGATAACATAATTGAACAAGTTGAGGCAGCTTATTGGCACGAAATTCGTGGCCCTCAATGCCAAACAATTGTCATAGACTTCGAAAAGCTAAATGCATGTAATGAAAGTCACTTAGCATACACGGGTGAAAGCCTGGGGCCGGTCGGGCTACCAAGCTGTCTTGAATCTGAAATCATGACCGACTTATACTGACATGTCTGTCTTTTCTCTGTTATCACCAGGCTATGAGTCACGTAATTGTAAAATGGGAAATCTAAGACGGAAAAGCGACGAATCTAAAGTATCGTGAGTGCATATTATGATGTATGCATAGGCATACATGGACTAGAGCAATAGGGGAAAGAGAAAGGGAAGAGCAAAGACGAGCGCTTAAAAAGAAAGATAGGCAGTGTCAGACCCTCAGATGTGCAACGATTCTCAAACGAATAGGTGTGTACGTGTGCTGATCTTTGTTCATATTTATTTATAACTTATAACATGCACAAAATAAAAAAGAACATAATATTAGTCACTTGTATTCACAATTTATAATTACAAACAACCCTAACCTGATAACATTAAATCTAAATACCAAAATGATTAATTTACTGTGTTTTTGTTATTTCTTACTCCTATTTTTAGGTATTCGGCCAAATAGTGATTAAATATTTGGTATTTGGCCGAATAGCGAAAAATAGGCTGAATACCGAATAATAACCAAATATTTGTTACATCACTATTAATTTGTCAAAATACAGGATTCAATAAAAATTCATGTATTGAAGGATGATTGTTTATGTGTATACATAGAACAGAAGAAAAATGTTTGGAATTTGTTCTAAAGAATAGTTCAAACATTTTTTTATAATTTCTGATAATTACATTATTTTCATTAAATACAGTATTTGTTAAAATTTATGTAATCTTTAGTGATAAACAAATAGGTTTTATTCTTCATATTTTGTAATTTAAAGTGGAATGTTAAAAGCAATGTTTTCAGTATATAAAAATTTTACAATAAAAACAATCATGAATTTCAAAATTGTCATTTATTATAGACAATTAGTTACAATACATTTAATGTTGTAAATTTTTTTTTATCAAGAAAACTCAAAATTGGTCTGTACAAACAGTGAAATGCATTTATTATTGAAAGTTTCCTAAGCTTACAAAGTCAGTTTAACTGGCCATGGAAAACAATTGTGCCCTCAAAGAAAAATTAAGCAGAAGCAAGTTTATGCTCCAGAAATGTTTACAATGAAACTAGATTTAAATCAATTTTGGTCAGATATAATCACAGCAATAAGTGCTTAAACAGCACAAACAGTTCAAACCTTATGTTCCCATTACAAAGTTATACTACAAAAAAAAAGTTTCATGGCCAATCAAAATTTGGCTATAAATGCCAAACAAGTATAAAGTATAATTATGGAAATGTTTAAGTTATTATTGGAATTCTGTATAAATATATTTTAATAAAGAAAAAAAATAAGTGCAACATTTGGGCAATCAAACATGAAATTATAAGAATAAGAAATTAAAGGGAAAGGCTAACGCACTTTCCACATGACACCAACATACTTTGGGTCTACTAGTGTCACTCTACATAGAACCACAATGACATCTAAGATTGCAAGGATACCTCAAAAAAACTCTTCCTTATCCTGCTATATCAGGACTTGGAGAGAAACAGGAATTTGAATAATTAAATGACTGAATGTATTGATAGTATAATGTAACAGTTATTTTCCACCTTTCCTAAAGGCATCTTCTATTGCTTCTTGACTGATTTCTTCAAAATCACAAGCTTGAACATACTTGTATACACCAACCAATGCCTTCTTTAAAGCATCATAACTACTGGAATATAACATTTTCTGTTTTATTTTTGATCCTTCAGGACACCTGAAAGAAGAAAAACAGTATACTAAGTAAAGAGTTTACACAATTTCAGTAATTTTATGAGCAATTTTTGTTTCCACTATTAGAAGCAAGAGTTAATTTGAATTATAGTTTACATAAATTTGTTTTCTATTAATTCTGCAAATGGCAATTTGAAAGTGTACACTGAGTTGTCTTTTTCCATAATTTTATAGTAGTGTTTCTGCAAAAAAATTCTGAATGTTCCTATTAGTTTATTCAAATTAATTCATTTTTTTATTGCTAAATGGTTTTTCAATTTTATAATGATAAATAACAAGGTTAAAACTAGAGATGCCACGAATATTCGGCTACTATTCGGTATTCGGCTACTTTTTTTAATATTCGGTATTCGGCCAAATACCGAATACCAAATCATGAAAAAAACCGCACGTATTACTCAAAAACGTATTTATTTTAATCATAAATTATTACATTTAATACTTAAAATCTATCAGTGGTAAGTTGTAATGAATGAAAACAATTTTTTCAGCATTTGTTGATAGCAAACGATTGCGTTTTTCTCAAACTATACCTGCTTCTGAAAATAGCCTCTCACTATATACACTACTGCCGGGAGACAATAGATAAATCTTAGCGAATTCTGTCAGGCTTGGATACTGTTTTGCGTTTGCTGACCACCACTTGTAAAGGTCTGCCGTCCGATCTAGGCGAACAGTTTTCATATAAAGTGATACAGTGATATTTTTTAGTAATAATTAGTAACGCAATTTGATGTAACAATGAACAAATAATGCATGTTGTGACATGATCTACTCGCAAATAAAACAAATGTGCCCGCAGTGTTGCTACCGCACCCACCGCAATGTATCAGGTCGTAACATATCACTCGCGAAATGTACACATATTTTGCCGAACATTCGGCGCTTCGGCCAAGAGCGTAGACGAATGTTCGGTATTCGGCAAAATCACTATTCGTAGCATCACTAGTTAAAACCATTTTCTCAGTAAAGTCAAATAAGCAAATAGCAAGTATTCCATTAGGTTTTGATGTGATTAACAGCAAACATCTCAAAATTTAATTTATCAAAAAGCCTTTGATAAACAAGGGCTACAATGTTCAAGAATCCAAAAGAAAAATGTTAAATACACTCATTAGATGTTTAGTTTAATATTACTGAGGACCTAATGAATAGTTGCATTTGAAAATTAGACAGATCCAATAATGCTGAAAAGTAATAATATAACACCATAAATTCATTAATTCAAACTATGTTCAAATAATAATTTCATTATCTAAAACTAGGATTAAATTCTGTTAGCCTGACATTTAAAGTTTTTTGAAAGGAAACAAATTAAAAATGAGAATTTTAAATTGCTATATCAGGTTAATTTGTCACAAAAATTATGAAAATGAATTTTGACTTTACACATACAATAATCTTATTGTACAAAAACTTTGTAGTGTGGATTATATCTTAAATTGCTCAAAGCCATATTTCAAAGCTGCTCCATGATCTAATCAAATATTTTATCAATTACATCCAAAGGCAAGCATTTACAAAGGATGGAGTGATTAGCATTTTTGGCTGAATATAAAATATTCTTGTTTTTCCTGATTATCAACTCTGCCAAATGGCAACTGATCTATATTCAGAATTGCATGCACAAAAGGCTTAACGTTTTCCAAACTTTTTCTGACTATTTCATTAGTATCACCCATAAGTCAAAAAATAAAGAAAAGTTTATTTTCAGTGTAAATTTAAAATAATGCTTAGTATTTTAAGGTACTTTTTGGACAAAAATGATGGAACTAATTTTTCCATGTCCAGGTCAATATTAGTAAGCAGTAGTCTTGAACCTATCCATATCTTAAATGGTATGTTACCAGATACAACCACATGAAGCAATTAGTAACATCTTTAAACCTTTGAACAAACTTAAGTTAATGTCCAACTTATTACACTGAAACATCAAAATGAAGAAATAATTAAAATGAAAATTAGAAATTTGGAGTTTTTCCAACTCCAAAACTTCTAATTTCATAATGTCGTCAATTTCTTCAATAGTTTTAGTTCACTCAATTCATATTATTGCAACTGTGTACTTTTTCATTACATTTATGAAGAGAAGCACAGAATATGCTTAAAGCACAGTTTACATTAAAAACAAAAAAAAATTATTAAAATGAATTATTAAATCTATCATCTTTCAATGCCTCCTTGCCTTTTAAAATTCCCTTGGGTTTTCCACCCCCAAAAGAGTGGAGTGCCCCCTTTAATAATCAAAGCAAGCAGTGTCCCCCTAATCAATAAAGATTACACACATTTATATTTTAAATTATTGTGATAAAGTACAACATTAAATCAGGGATGCACAACCTTTTCTGAAGAAGGGCCAAGTTAGGATTAAGTTTACTGACCAGGGGGCCAGACCATTTTATAACCTTTGCTGAAACAAGAAGTCTAATTACTTTAGCTGCGGGCAGTGTTGATAATCATGGGAAATTTATGACTTGACACAGTTTGAAATTTTTAAATCTAAAACTTTTTAGCGCAATCAGCTTCCTTTTAGGCATATGACTATTCCAGCTATTAATTTTCTTGGTCCAACGTAATAATTAAAAATTTTGGCATGAAAAAAATTTTCCATTGTTAGTCTATGGAAAAACTTTGTTGTAAATAATTGGTTATTATAGCTTTTGTACATTCCTTTTTGAACTTCGATTGGTATTTTCTAGTTTGAATGACATTAGGTTGACAAATAAGCATCTATTCAGAAAAGATTAATTCAAATTCAACTATACCAATCAGAATCTAGAATGTAAACAAATGCTAAAAAAAATTGTTATTTTCATGGTTTTTCAGTGCTATTTTCACTTGTTATTTGATGCTATTTAGACGAATAAGCAAGTTTTCCGAAGCATAAAATTGAAAATTCCCCACCAAAATAGAAATTTGGGTGATAACATCGGAAATGATGTTTAGCATCATTTTATTCTATTTGATTCTTCTAAAAATTGTTATAATACTATGTATTAGACTTTTCAATATTAAACCAGAAAGTGTGTTAGGGGCCGTCCATAAATTACATAAGGATTTCAACCATTCTAGACTCCCACCCACCTGTGTAACAGACCATAATATTTTCTTTGACTCCCCTCTTTCCCTATCTTACGTAATATTTTAGGCATGATTTTTTAGAAAGATTTTAACAAAATTTTTTATGAAACCCTAAAAACCTTAATTATATATTTTGGACCTTAGTTAATATGTACTATTATTTATAAAAGACTATGAACAAATTTAAAAATATAAAAATTTAATGAATTTGAATGAACAATTTATTTTAACAACTTTATTTTTTAATTTCCTTTACCTTTTAATTTAACTTTATTTTTTAATTAATCTTTTCATCATCATCATTAATCAACTTCATAATTCATTTTTATATTAATTTTTCATAAAAGAACACAAAAAATTTGACAGATCGACTAGCTAGTACACGTGTAAACAGAATCATCATACAAAACAAAACGAGAGAAGAGAGAAACCACCACACAGCCTTTCTCCCATAATAAAATGTGTAGAGCGCGAGTCTGCTAGCATTCTTAATAGAAACAGTCAAATTGAAGCTAATTCAAAACTACCACTCAACGAGATCAAAAAATAAAACTAAAAATATTACCCTCTATCCCGGAGTAAGAAATCTTAAGTCCTTGACACCCAACCCAAAATTCCTTACATAATTTATGGACAGCCCCTTAACTAGAAATAGAAAAACTTCAACCCCCCCCATTTCTCACCTCAGGGAAAGTCATAAAACAGTTGGGTGCTAATGACAGAAAGGAAACTTCTATACATAGAAACTTCAAAAGAAGGTATTTGGCCTGTACAGTCCACAGGCCACAAACATTGAAAGGGGACCGTATCTGGCCCCGGGCCACAGGTTGTGCATCCATGATTAAATCATGCCATTGAAGTCCAACATTTTTGGCAGCACCAAAGTAATGTACACACAGTATGTTCAATAAAGCTGGAAGTATATATGACAAGTAACAATTGTTTACTTCCTACAAATATAAACATCCATATACAGGTAGGCCTCTTACAACGCGGTACCTTTACAATGCATTTTCGCTCCAACGCGGTTGGAAAAATGTGGTGATTTTCTTACAATGTGGTACTTTTACAACACTGTTTACGGTATTTAGAAACTAATTATCTTTCACATAACAGAAAAATCGCAACAGATCATGTGATATGAGCCACAGTTTGGTATACAGAGCTAAAAGTCTTTGAAAACAGCTGTTTGTCGACATTGGCATGTTATTTATTCCCTTGAAAGTTTCAGGGGAAGACCGGTTTCTAGACAGATGTGCATCAGTTACCGTAAACACTCAAATATCACTAAATTTTCCATCATTTATACTGTTTCAGTAAGTGGGGACCACAAAAATGGTCCAAAACACAGTATAAACTTCTATTGGGTGTATATTTTTAACAATATAGTGAAGAAAAGTTATTTTTTGTGATTTTTACTGTCCACAAAACTGATTGAAAAAATTTTAGCCATAACAATGCCGAATGAAAAGAAAGGACTGTCGTTAAAAAGGAAATTTATAACTCTTCAAAGATAGAAATTTTGGATCGAATTAAAAATCAAGAGCGGATAGCTGATATTAGTAGGCATTTTAATTTAAATGAGTCGACTATTCGGTCGATTAAGCAATCGGGAGAAGAGATTAGAAATTTGGTCGCATCCGGATCATCTATTCTTGCGAAAAATGTTGCTAGTCCGAGAGCACCTATAATGTAAAAAATGGAACAAGCGCTAATATTATGGGTAGAAGATATGAACAAGAAACGGTTGCCTTTAAATAAAAGTGCAGTTAAACACAAAGCCTTAAAAATATTTGATTATTTAAAACAAATGGGACAGTCGTCAGCTGCAGTGGCGTAGCGTGGGTGTCAGCCACCCGGGGCGGAGGAAATTTTCGCTGCCCCCTTATTTAGGTATCTCAATTTAAAAGACTAAAATTCAGTTTCGTCACAGAATAAATAATGAACAATTCCGTGCTCATTTCAATCGGTCCGAATCGTAGGTGTGACAAAAATATGAAATGGTTCAAATTTTTACAAGATATTATTATTTATTGTGAAATTTTGCCGCCCCCACTACACTTCGCCACTGGTCAGCTGATGAAAATAGTGTTAAATTCGTGGCTACCAATGGCTGGTTTGAAAAATTCAAATAACTCCAATCAAACGCCAAGTTTCTTTTTAGAACCGAATCCCAGTTTTTGTATTGAGTTGGTGTCTCCTATAACGCAATTTTCCACAATGCAGTATTTTCAAGGAGCGTATCTACCGCATTGTAGGAGGCCTACCTGTACCTGAATTTTATACAGATGTAATGGAATAAGCCAACCAACCATTTAACAAGTCATAACTCAAAATTGAGATAGTCTTGAACAAATTATTCCTTCCTGGAAAAAACTTAAAAGTAAACATTTATCAATTGTCCAATGTAAATTGGGCAACAGAACTAAATGAACTGATAATGTGGATCAGACCTTAAGACAAGAATCAATAGCAAGACAGTTTACCACCTCTGAGACAAACCACTATCAATAACAACACACACCCAACTATAACTAGAAATACACAAAGTCAAAATTCTAGAAAAGAGAAAAATTAATGTTAGAAAAGTTAATGAGTACAGACTAAAATTAGAGAATCATTTTTTTGACAAACAAAATTTACCATTTTTTATTAGAAGATACACTGGAAAAAAAAGGCTCATTCAAAAAAATCACTATACAAAACAATTTTGAGAAAACAGTACATATTAGATTTGAATTTAAATATTTTGAATATCAAAATTATGGAAACATTTGCTATCCATAATAATTCAATAAGTGTAATATATATATAAAAATTAAGTTAATCAGAAAGAGGTTTGATCAAAAGCAAGCAGCAGTATGACATTTTCATTCATTTTTCAAAAAGTCACTTTAGCAATTGAAGCACTTTGTTAGTGTATAATGAGTGACCATAATAGATGTATTTTATGTCTCCTGCAGATTCAATCAGTGCACATGAAAAAGTGTGCTGCCAAACAAATGACAGATGCTTGTCCCAACAATTTTTTTTGCCTAAAAAAAATCTGCTTAGACTAGTACAGTTGACTCCCCTATAACACGGTAGATACGTTCCGTTCTTTATGAATCCATTTTGTACAAGTCTTTGCCAATCAGAGCTCAGCACGTATGCACTTTACGGACTACGGCTGTTTGAAAGGTTTTCTTCCATAAAATTGATTCCTAGACTAATTTGACTCAACATTTCCAAAATACATATATTTTTTTGGGAATAATCCGTATGAACTATAAACAAAAAATTGTAGGATTACTTCACTGAGTGTGCACCATTCAACGTCGCCATTGCTTAAGCTTGTTTTCGTCGCAGAGCAGCACACCAAACGGCGGGCGCAATTTCTGATAAGTTACAAAGTTGTGAAAACTTCGTTGAACTTTGGAGACATCATTAATATAAATAATTTTTATGGCCGTTGAATAAGAAATGTTTCTTCCACAAGAAATGTATAAAATTAGTGCTGTATTAGACTTATGATACCTAATTTACATACTGTACAGACGATAGTAAACTCAACTTACTCGCCTAAACTCTCCGTAGCGTGGCGCCGGACGGCGGAAAGTAGTTTGGCTGCCCGATGACGTTTTACCGAATTATAGGAGTTTTTTTTACCATGTTTGTACGGATACCGTCACAATTTTTTCGCTGTCATATAGGAATCCGAACTATAGGAGCCCGTGTTATAGGGGAATCGACTGTAATCTTGTGGAAATGTGAGGAGTTACATTTCTGCAACACTCATAACACAGGATTTAAAATAGTCATTTGAGTGTCAGAAAATTAAGAATTATGTAGGACTGATGCTGTGTACTAAATATTCTTACTTGTGAAAGAAGTTTGCCATTTGACACATTTCAGTATTTTAAGAAATGCAATGTACTGTACATAATTCAGTAAAAATTCAAAATTTTAAAAAATGCTACCATCAAATATTTAGACTAAACAAATCTCAGTACTAATCAGGATGTAAACCACCAATAACTGACACTGCCATTTAGAAGTTAAAAATTTTTAAATAAGCTAGTTGACCATCTGCACCATCTACTGTTAAAAAATTAAAAGCAGTAAGACTATTCTATAAAGGAAAGACCAAGGCTTGTCTTTAGAATAGTCTTACTGCTTTTGAGTTAGATTTAGATAGCAGTTAGCTGCCAAAATTAATCAAGATAGTGATAAAATGTATACAATACTTTTAAAAAATTCTAAGAAAAGATTCTATTTATAATTAGATACTATAAACTAGGCTATAAACATTACAAATTAGCTTTTAATTATATTTCACTTAAACTACAGGTTTGATTTTAATTGTAGATGGTAATTACTGGAATTTCATAAGCAAAATCAGAATTTAATAATAATTTATTTTAACAATAGCTAGTTTCAAAAAGATCATCTTTCAATATGGCTTGCAATATAAATATCTTTATATTACAAGCTAGCCATATAATTGTTTATCAACATATCAAAAAACAGATTGAACAGTAGCTAACCATTGATTTTATGAACTGCCTTTTAAGAAACTTCCACTGTGCACTACTACATTTATATTTGTCATAATTAACAAAATAAGAGTATCAATTTAGTAAAACTAGCAAAAACTCAAAACAATCTATAATAAGTCAGATTAAGAGTACCATGTACCATAAAAAGTTGTTAGAAAACGCAATTTGTATACAGATCATACATAAGCACTGAGCACTTAGAAAATCAGTTCTGGAACAAATATAGGCAGTCACACATTCAGATTATTGCAATTTATATCATTACCACACCAATAAAAATTACTAAAATTATCTTACCAAGTCATAAGAACAAGCCTGTCCACAGACATAGAAGTTTTCTCATGAGAACCTTCTACAGGCATTGGTGCTGGAAAATCAAAAACACAATAACGGCATTCTGTCTTGAATTGTTGCATTGTATCCAGGAAGTCGCTGTAAGTAGCATTACGTGGTCCTGTTGATTCGACATCAATTACTTTTTCATCTTTTATATGATAGATGATAAAACGATATTTTTTGTCTTTCTTCACTTCTTCGTAGACAGTTTTTGCTTCAGTTGATACAGTTACACCAGAAGACTAAAAAACAAACATTTAAAATTATTCATCTTGTATTAAGTTCTTATGTGTATATCCAAATATTTTGAACTTTCAAACTATTTTAGATATAACAGTAGATACCACACTAAATCAATATGATCAAAATCGGCAATTCTCAAAACAAGTCAAAACTTAAACCCAGAACTTATTGTATCATCTTCAGGTAAATTATTCTGATAGTTCAAAAGAGCTTAAATATGACTAACATATTACAAAGATTGTGCATTATTCTTAACTAGGGCTTTTAGTGTTGAATATTTTGTCTATTTTTACAACATACAATAGCTTGTAATTATTAAATTGCTGAATTTCTTAATTCAGGTTAGCTGTTAAGTAATTGTGAAATTGTATAATTTATTCAGTATTTTCTTGTAAATATCATCAAATATTAAATCCTGTTAAGATTTAATATTTGATTGGGCATTGTTTTAAGATGAGTCAATAAAAATCAATTTCCACTAGTTAATGAAATAAACATGAACACTAAATGTAATCTTATCTTAAATGTTCTTATACTAACTGCAAAAGAAAGTAACTACATTAAGCAGATTTTCTCTCTCAGCAGAATCTGGTTAATGATTAAAATTCATAGATGTCATGTTCACACCGAATGCTGCTAGCATAATACACATGCTTTTTTGCCACTACATTCAACCAATTTCTGATTTTCCTATCAACTAAAAATGCATCTCAGCTTTTCAAAAAGCTATTTTCTTTTTGCATTACACTGGCAATATTATTTGCATCTTAAGGTCTTTCAAACTAACTTCTTGGTTTTGGTAAATTGATAGAACAGTGCAAATTATGTGCATATATTAGTCATTGACAATGAAGAAAGACTGTTCTTTGCATAAATATGCTGTTTACTTAATGACTAATCCCCTATTCACAGAAAAAAAAGCACCCAGAAATTAAGGTACTGGAACAAAGACAATACCATTACAACTGTCCTCAAACATCTCAAAGTACTATATGAAAGTACTATATTGCTCATCTGAATGATATTAAACATTTGTATAGCTAAACGTGGCACAAAAGCAAATCATTGGTTAGCAGAGTTAAGTGGTCACACAGATCAAAATTATTTGACCAAAACACTGTGCAACAAAATGGGTTTTTTACAGAATATTAAGAATGAGATGTACAAAGAATGAGATGGCTTTTTAAAATAAAATACAAAAACATTGCACATTATATATACACCTAATTGTTTTTAAGCATTAAGTCGACAACTTTCTGGAGTTTATTCCATTTTTCTAGAACTTGGAGAAATTACACTATCAAGAAAGTTATACAAGTTTTATCAAGCAGTAAGTTTAGATTGCAAAAGGAACACATCTTTATAGATAAAAGATAAGATCTTTCTTTGAGTGGACATCACACAAGCACTTAAAATAAAGACAAGCAAGCTATACAAGTCTTAATAGTAAAACAATTATGCAAACCAACTGACTCCTAATTTTCCTATCAACTAAAGAGAATTGACATAAATGCACAAAGTATATGAGATTCCAGTTTGAATCTATTGTACAGATGTCTTCTTAAATACTATATTTTAGGCACCATAGAAAAAAAAAATTAGCAACAAGTTAAACTTTCCCAGCAACATTTTTTTATAATAGATGGCACCAAAGTTTTTCAACAACATTATTATTTTTAACTGTTATAAACTGGTAAAAAGCTTCATTTTCAGGTTAGGAATGGATTTTATATAAAATTGCAAATGCTAATGAGTAAAATTGTCACCATGTCCAATCCTACCAGAGATACAGTAGAGCGTCGTTTATCTGAAAGCTGGTTATCCGAAACGTCCGTTATCCGAAAGCATTCCAGTTGGCAAATTTAAATTTTTGCTAGTGCTGTGGCGCTGCAATCTTCGGCTATTTCTCGGGCTACTCAAATATTTTACGTTTTTGATACTAAATTAACATCTGAAGTATAATTTTTTATTGTTTTTATATTTTTCAATAAATTTATTTTGTTTGTACAAAATAAAAAAATAATTTTTAACAATACAATAGTCTTCGTTAGGCTTAACATCGACGAAAATTCAACTCGAAGCGACACGCAATGGAGAGAAATTTCAACATGGGATAAATTAATATATTTTTTCGTACATGATTTGTTATCCGTACCACCCCAGTCCCCAATTGATTCGGATAAACGACGCTCTACTGTATACTGTACACAACTCTCCTTATCTCCCCACCCTGACCTTTAATTACCAGAATTTAATAGCATCAATCCCCCAATAAACAAACCTCCCTGCAAAATTTCAAATTTTGACAAAAGCACAGAATATACAAGAAAAACATCCATTAAAATTTTATATAGATTGATTTTTCCTATTTTTCAGACAAAAATAATGCTTGCTTACAAGTTGTTTTAGACTAATTAGATTGTGGCTTTCAATCCACAGATTAAAGCACAAGATCTAAAACATCTATGATGGATTGATATAAAAACATCCCTACTTATTAGTCATCTCGTATTATGCATTTTATTTGGAGGGGAGAAACTTTCACATGGACAAAAACTGCAAATATCCAATATTTAAAAAGTTTAATACTATATTTAACAATAAATTACACTAAATTACTGCTTACTTTTATTGAGCATTAAAATTAGACCTGATGAAACAAAACTGGAACCATGTCCAAATACATTCAAATTCAAAAATCAAGTATAGTACTTTTCAAAATTAAAAACATCTCATTTGGCTATTTAATAAATTGACTTTTTTGTCAATTTAATCAAGTTAAAATTTTTAAAATAAATTTTTTTAATGCCTTCTCACTAAACAAAAATTTATATTTGTAATAACTTATTTTGCATCCTGAACTTGGTAATAAGTTTAATCAATTTTTAAAATGAAATTAGAACACATTTTAAATTCTTGGGCAAGTATGCATGAAGTCTAAAATTTTCAAAATACATGGAAGAAAATTGGATATAATAGCTTAATAAATTTAAGACAGTTTAAGACAAAATTTGCCTTTAAAATGATTCATACATATTAGGTACATTTTTATACCTAGTCATATGCTCAGAACAGTTTCATAAACTAAAAATTTTTAAACTGAAGTTTGCTCCAGCCTCTAGCTCACAGGTTCCCAACCTATGGGTCGCGACGGGCTTTCTGTGGGGTCGCCAACTTATACAGTTAACTAAAAAAAAAATGTTCACTATAATGCAATTTTTATTTTTAATGGTGTCTTCAAGTTTGAATAATTTGATATACAGTCGATCCCCCTATAACACAGGTTCCTATAGTTCGGATTCCTATATGACGGCGAAAAAATTGCGACGGTATCCGTACAAACATGGTAAAAAAACTCCTATAATTCGGTAAAACGTCATCGGGCAGCCGAACTACTTTCCGCCGTCCAGCGCCACGCTACGGAGAGTTTAGGCGAGTAAGTTGAGTTTACTATCGTCTGTACAGTATGTAAATTAGGTACCGTAAGTCTAATACAGTACTGTAATTTTATACATTTCTTGTGAAAGAAACATTTCTTATTCAACGGCCATAAAAATTATTTATATTAATGATGTCTCCAAAGTTCAACGAAGTTTTCGCAGAAAAATAACTTATCAGAAATCGCGGCCGCCGTTTGGTGCGCTGCTCCGCGACGAAAACAAGCTTAAGCAATGGCGACGTCGAACGGTGCACACTCGGTAAGTAATCCTACAATTTTTTGTTTATAGCATAGTTTATACGGATTATTCCCAAAAAAATATACGTATTTTGGAAATGTTGAGTCGAATTAGTCTAGGAATCGATTAATTTTATGGAAGAAAACCTTTCAAACACCCGTAGTCCGTAAACTTCACACGTGTCGGGCTGTGATTGGCAAGGTCTCCTAAAACATCAATTTCATAAAAAACGGAACGTATCTACCGTGTTATAGGGGGGTCGACTGTATTTTTTAAAAATTAAAATAAGTGTAATCTAGGTACGCTATTCCGTCACAGTTGGTTGAATCATGTGTTGAGAGTTTGAGAGGAATAAATTAAATGTTGAGAATGACATGAGGTTGGCGTTAACAAAAACTCACCCGCGAATTTTAAGGCTGGTTAATAACATACAATTTCAACAATCGCATTAAATTATTAGACATAATTTAAAATAAAATTATACTAAAAAATTAATTGCGCTGTTTTTTAATTACCTTATTAAAAATGTCTTTTTCAATAGTATCGGGGTCGCGGGTCACTTGGCTTTTATAAAAAGGGGTTGCCACCCGAAAAAGGTTGGGAACCGTTGCTCTAGCCAATTTATATGATGGAAAGCAAACTTTATGCATTCTAAGGAAAAAAATTGATTAAAAAAATGGAAAAACTTGTATGAAGATATTTTTGTAGATTTTTTTCAATTAAAAAACTTTTGAATTGTTCAAGTTAACTTTACAAAGCAAGCAAATATCAAAAGAGAAAGGTACCACATTTAAAATTTTAGCAGTTAAATACAAAACAGATGGACACTCCACTATCATTCTGGCTCTTGAAGTTACCACTATTTAGTATAAAAACTTTTGAAAATAACCAAGTCAACACTCAAAGTTTTTTAATTTGTTATTAATGGAAAGAAACATTCTTACAGGTAGGGAAGAAAAACTGATTGTTGACTTAATTTGCATGCTGAAATGAATCTTATAAAATTTTAGGACATTTTTTTACTATAAGTTAAATTTTACTCACAAAAATCTATTACATATGTGTAATTTAACAATTTTCTACAAATATTTTGCTGGGTACAACTAGTTAAGAATTGCTATTGGTTGAAACATAAGCCCAGTTTTGCTTAGTAAGCAAAATAAAATAGTTGAAGTTTTATAAAGGAAGATCTGAATAATAATTTGAATATAAGAATGGTGTCAACTTCAGGCATTAACTACTTAATAGAGAGGTTGAGGCGCACGTTTTAAACGTGTAAACGTGTACGTGTTACGTTCGGCGCTGCTTTCCCGTAAGCCTAA